TATATATATATAATTATGTATATAATGATATAGCATCTTTAGAAAATAGTGAAGTCTCATTGGTCTCTTTCATATGGCAAACTTGGAGTAACATCAGGAGGTAAGGATGAAAAGGCTGGGAGACTTGTGATCAGTAGTGTCACTAGGGTTGGTGTCACCCGGTGCGGTAACTCCTGGTGTTACCTCCTCCATGCTAATTACCACAATATTGTAGCTAAAACACCAGAAAATTTGACAAAATCAGCGACGGTAAAAACATCGGCAGCAAGGAAAACAACAGGGCATGCTTGTAGTGCGTGCAGACGAAACCACATGATTCGAAGTGTCATTTAATTGCATAGTAATGACAGCTCTGACCAGAGCACATTAGAAAGTTCAAAGAGGAAATTAGCATGGAGTTTCAGCCTTGTAGGTATACTGATACAGGTAAGCTGGGTTTACAAAAAATGTTTTTGTTGTTATAACTAACTACAGGGGTATTTTTATAAAAAATAATAAACTCCTGCAGAAACACTGCACAAAACTTTTATAGACAGTCATTTTGGTGTCCATCCCCTCTGACAGTGTCACCCCGTGTTGTCCGCACTATCCTCTCTCCCTAGTGACACCGCTGCTTGTGATGATCGTAGGTTTTGAGAGAAGGCTTAAGGAGTTTGGCTTTTGTTTCCACTAAAGATTTGGACTAGGAGAATGACAGTAAGAATGTGCATTAATCTTCTAAAGAATGTACTGTATTTTAGAAGATTAATCTGGTATACTGTGAGAGCAAGAGTTGATTCAGGAGGAAAAATTAGGAGGCTGCTTCAATAATAAGAGGAATTCAGTAGTAATTTAGGTATTGAACTAGGTGATAACGGTGGGAATCCACATCTCAAAACGAGGTTCAGGTGCCCAAAATACATTTGAAAAATGCTGTATAAAATTCCTATACTCCAGGCAAATAAAGAAAAAATTGTGCATATTAAAGATTTTCTTTAAAGCGTGCCCGTTAGCTCTTAACGTTTTGAAAACCTGTAAGTTGAGAGCCAAGAGGTGAGGGGGGAAGGAGCGGAGGAGGAGCCCAGGGGAGAGGGGCGGGGAGAAGGCACAGTCGCAGGGGCGGGGCCGAGGGCCGAGGTGCGCGTTAGCTGCGGGGTATCGCGAGAGTTGGGCGGGCCGAGCAATCGCAGCAGTCAATTCTACCACCCTCCCGGCAGGAGCCGCCGGCCCTGGACTCTCCAAATTCTGAGCTCTCATCATGGCGGCGGCGGCGGCCGCGGCAGCTGTCGGGGGTCCGCAGCAGCCCCAGCCCGAGCTGCCCGCACCGGGGCTGGCCCTGGACAAGGCGGCCACTGCCGCGCATCTGAAGGCGGCCCTCAGCCGGCCGGACAACCGAGCGGGCGCTGAGGAGCTGCAGGCGCTGCTGGAACGGGTGCTGAGCGCCGAGCGGCCGCTGGCCGCGGCTGCGGGCGGTGAGGAGGCGGCGGCGGGTGGCGCAGGCGGTCCGGGTGCTGCCGAGGAGGAGGCCCTGGAGTGGTGTAAGTGCCTTCTGGCGGGCGGCAGCGGCTACGACGAATTCTGCGCGGCAGTGCGGGCCTACGACCCCGCTGCGCTCTGCGGCCTGGTCTGGACAGCCAACTTCGTGGCCTACCGCTGCCGGACGTGCGGCATCTCCCCCTGCATGTCGCTGTGTGCCGAGTGTTTCCACCAGGGCGACCACACCGGGCACGACTTCAACATGTTCCGCAGCCAGGCCGGGGGCGCCTGTGACTGCGGTGACAGCAACGTGATGCGGGAGAGTGGGTGAGTGGAACCCTCCCCCAGGGTGAAGCGATTCCCGAGCGAGGGGCACCCAGGGTGGCCCAGGCCAGGGTCCCAGGAGGGCTGTCGGAGACTGAGAGCCGACCTGATCTGTCAAGGGAAGGAGGTGGGGGAGAGTGCAGCCACATAGGGATGGAGGTGACTGAGCTGTCAGTGGTGAAAAGGGGGTGGGGAGTATGGGCTAGCAGAGAGCATGTTTAGGGGACAGGGCTGTGAATTTTGGGGGAAGCCAGGGCCCGTGAGCGATGGCTAGAAAACACCCTGTGCGTAAGGTAGGAGGGGAGGGAGGAGGAAAGGATACGTGGAGAATCTGGTGTCGAGCTGTCAATTGTGTACTTATTGTTGGGAAAGGCTGTAAAGCTGCCTGCTTCTTGGGAAGACACTGAGGATGCGATTTGGATTGGCTGGGAGAGGGTGGTATTGGGGAAAGAATTGGGTCGTGGGATGATGGGGGGGCGGGAGGAGGGTTGGTCTGTAACTGCACGGGAGGACGTTCGCGGTGGTGGTAGGGGGAAGGAGTTCTGAAACTGTCAGTGTGTCTGTCAGTCTGAGGAAAGGAGCTCTTGAGCTGATGGGAGTTGAGGGAGGAGGGAAGGGGAGGGGCCTGCATGAAAAGTGACTGTTGAGCTGTCAGTGCAGTATTTGGTGTGCTGGAATGAAATCTAGAATTGGGCTACTGAGCAGTCGGTTATAGAATACTCTCCATACCAGATAAACAGACAAAACCGTGAGCGAATTCGCTATCAAGTGTTAGATCTTCTCCAGTTAAGGGCACTCTGTTCACTGACTAATATGTGAACATCTCTCTAAAAGGAGAGACTCAACAAATGGTTTTCTGACAGGAGTGATGTAACAGGGTATTGGGACTTAGGACAGAAGACAACATTCAGAAGTTGCAGTGAGTTAAAGAGTTGGTACATATAGGGTCTTGGCTTGGGACATGATGTCAATGTCAGGGGGAAGTCTGGGAAAAAAAGGAAAAGCTTAGTGAAAGGAGATTTTGGTTGGGTAGTAGTTGAAAGAACGTTAGCAAATCCAGTTATTCAAGTTTTCCAATTTTCAGGTTTTATAATTTACGATAGAGTTATAATTCCTTTAGAAATGGTGACTTCTTTTTTCTTATGGAGTACTTGTAGGTTACTGTTAACTCCACAGTGTTTGTACCTACTATGTGGAAGCAAGGCTCCTTGGATATTAAAAGTGAACACGATGTGGACCTAGCCCTTAAGCTGCTTATGCTAGAGTAAAACCAAAACCAAACCGGAAGGCAATAAATTCCTTAAATAGTAGTTGGGGAGTTAGAGGAGGGAGAGGTGGCTTCTACATAGAGTATGAAAAATGCCTTCAGAAAGGAGGTGTTTTGAACTTGCTAAAAATAACAATAATAATTGCAGCTAACATATGAGAGCTTAAAGTATATGCGCGACACTACTTAAAGTATTTTAAAAATTTAGTATATGAATAGGTAAATTTTAATATGTGAATAGGTAAAATATTCATATAATTAAGCAATAAATAAAAAGGTACACAGTTTGAAGTCTCCGTTCCATCATGTCTCCCATCTACCTACAATTATTTGTTTCTTAGTGCAAATACAAGCAAGAATGAATATGTATTCTAACTTTTCAGTAACTTTTTTGTACAAGAGGTAACATACCACATGCACTGTTCTGCATTCACTCATCATAGAGGTCTTTCTGTATCAGTAGATTCTGTATCAGTGTATCAGTGTCATGCATAGTATTCCATGTCATGAATTTGCCACTCTTTATTTAATCATCTCTTTTGATGGACATTTGGGTTTCCATTATGTAATTAAAAAAACCTGGCATACCTGTCTTTTCACACCTCTGCAAGAATATCAACGGGATAAATTCTCAATAGTGGTGTTTCCAAATTGCTCTCTGTAAGGCTTAGCAACGTATGAAGTTGCCTGTTTTCCAACAGAGTCATTAATAGTGTGTTATTAAAACTTTTGGATTTGGTAAAAAGTGATCAGATTGTCACTGCTTTAGACGATTTAACACATTTAATCTTCAACAACTCAGATTGTTGTTATTATTCTCCCTACTGTACAGAAAAGGAAAATGGGGCACAGAGTTAGAAAAAACTTGTCCAAGATTACACAGGAGGTAGCAAGCAAGCTAGGCATGCTGGCACCAGAGCTGATGCTCAGCCACTACTCTCTATGCTTCTATGAAATAGCATTCTTACCGTACTTCCATTCAGTACTGAGTTTTGTCTTTTTTTTTTTTTTTTTTTTTAAAATATGTCATTCTTGTTTGGGTCTTTGTTTCTTGTTTAAATCTTTTTTAAACTTGGTGCAATCCTTAACTGATACTTAGGTATTTTTTACTTCTTGGACTGGATTAACATTTAGGAGACTCCCAAAGAACATGAAGGTAGGAAATAATATTGATTTTGTGTTAGTTCTTCCTTGAATTTTGGAACACAGTGGTGATTATCTGATTCACCTGGGTGAGGCACAAGTCTGATCTCTGTGATGCTTCAGTGCATGCATGGAAATATGTCAGTGAGTTTCTTAGAAGGTACTTAACACAGGTTTAAGGCATTGAGTTGTAGATAGTCCACATCTTATTCTTATAGCATTTGCCTTTACCTATATCTCATTGATACTTATTTTTTCCCCAGTCTGACAACCATTTATGAATAGATATGGAATATTTAAAGATTTATTATTGTCTCTATATCTGAAATAAAGAACTGTAGCTTGTATGTGTCAGCAGTTGCCATGTCCAATTTCATAAAGGAAAAGATTGAACAATAAACAGTATTGTGGCCATCTGATTATTCTGAAATTTTTGCAATTCTTTCGGTCAGATAGAATAATCTTCTACGCTACACATCTCATCTACTACCTAGAGAGACATAGATGATCTTGGTCAGTTGTGCAGGTTAGAAGACTGCCTCTGGAACTTTTCAGAACTGGAAATCAACAAATTATAGCAGTGGTCTTGGTGAGCAAAGCTGGACTACCAAAGTTTAAAGATATGTTAATTTTGGGGTTGTTTGTTATTCTAACTGCCATCAAAAAACCAAAATCAAACCTGTTGCTGTCGAGTAGTTTCCGATTCATAGTGACCCTATAAAACAGGGTGGAACTGCCCCATAGGGTTTCCAAGGAGTGGCTGGTGGATTTGAACTGCTGACCTTTTGGTTAATAGCTCTTAACCACTGCACCACCAGTAGGTCCTTGGTAAGTGTCGAATTCAATTGGATAAAAATAATGGCTGTTATACCTGAAAAATTGCTCAATGATTACATTGCTTTCGTTGTTCAGGAGGTGGCATTGATTATTAAATCCATAGCAGGTTTTTTTCAGATTGCTTCCTGGATAGTTTTCTTTCATTTTTTAATTTCCAAAGTAATACATATAGATTATAATGTAAAAATAAGTGGGTAAAGTAAAAAGTTAGGGTTCCTCTTTCCTCCATCCCACTCCTCAGTGAGAAATTTCCCTTACTTTCTTTTGAGCTTAGTTATGCATTTGAAAGTTGTCAGTTATTATTTACCCAGCATCTCCCGATGCTTTATTGAGGGAAGTTTTTAAGTTGTTTGGTCAATGGTAATGCCAGAAATGGAAGCAGTGAATAGATAGTTGAATAGTGTTCATCCTCATCTGTACCTTGCTCTTTTCCTTTAATAATATTTATTGCATACTGTCTCATATTAGTACATTTTTTTAAAAGATAGTATTCCATTCAATTTTCTTTTTTTTAGTATTTTATTGTAATTTATGCAGTCATGTTCTCTACTGATGTACGTTTAAATTATTTCCAGTCTTGGGCTATAGTAAACATTGCTGCAGTCAGTATCCTTGTATACACTTCTTTGTGTATACATGTGAGCATATGTATGGGGATAAATTCCTAGAAGTATATTTGGGCTAAAGGAAATATGATTTCAAATTTTGATAGAACTCGCCAAAGAAATTACTTGAAATTACCCTCCCACCAACAGTGTTTAAAAGAGCATGTTTCCTCACATCCTGACCAGCATGTATGGTGTTAACAATATTCTTGATCTTTGTTAATCTCATAAGTGAAGAGTGGTATCTTGTTTTATTTATTTTACCCTTCCCATTTGCCCTTTTATTCCCCAAACTGGAGTTTTTTGAAACAAATCTCATGAATAAATTCATGAGCATTTAATAAAAAAATAAATTTATGATTTTACTGATAAATATTTGAGTATGTATCTTAAAGAGATATAGACTCTTAAAAAAAGAAAACCATAACCACAGTACCATTGAAAACCAAACCTGTTGCCATAGAATCGATTCTGACCCACAGCTAACCTACAGGACAGGGGAGAACTGCCCATAGAATTTACGGAAGCAGACTGCCACATCTTTCTGCCACACCTAAAATATTCACAATTATTCCATAATGCCATTACATATCCAGTCAGTGTTTAGATTTTCTCAGTTGTCTCTTAAATGATTTTTTAGAGTCAATTTATTAGAATCAGGGCCCAAGCAAGTTCCTAATACTGTATTTGGTTGCTATATCTCATAAGTCTCTTTTAATTTGTAGGGTATAGAACCTTTCTCTCCTTCCCCACCCCTGGAATTTATTAAAGAAAACTACATTCTGAATTTTACTGATAGCATCTCTGTGATGTTTAACATGTTTCTCAGTTCATTATTTCTTGCAAACCAGTAGTTGAATCTAGAGGCTTGATTGGATATCAGATTCTATTTTTTTTTTTGGCAAGAAAATTTTATAGTGGTGTTGGGTATATCCTGTTGCATCACATTGGTAGTCACAGAATGTCTGCTTGTCTGGGTGTTAGCTGATGTTAGGATTGATCAGTAGGTTCAGGGAGGCAGCCTGATCCATTTGCTATAAAGTTCCCCATCATGTTAAGGATTTTAGCAGGCATTGATTATCGTTGTCCAGATCCATTATTTTATTAGGGGTTTTAAAATGGTGATATTCTAATTGTATTCTCCCTCATTTTTAGTGAGAATTTATTCTAGAAAACTCTATTCTTAAAGTTTCAAGGATGAAAGCTATATTTCATAGATATCTCTAGATGTGTTTTCCAGAACTCTTTTGTGGAAGGGGAGCACTTTGGTCAAACAAACTTGGAAAATACTACACACTGTGTCTTCTTTTTAGAGGTCTGCAATGTGTAACATCTTAAAGAAATTCTATAGTAAATAAATCTGCAGCTTTGAATAACTTCATGTTCAATGGTTAAATCTGAGAAGCTGTTATTTTTGAGTCATACCAATTTGAATTTGTCCACTTGAATACTCGGCCATTATCTTGCCATTATCAGCATATCCAAAATGGAATCAATTATATCTCCCCAAAATAGCTCCCTGTAGATTTTCCTTTTCTTTCTTCCTTTTTATTTTGTTACTAGTATCATGTTTTTTTATTTTGTTTTTGTTTTTTGAATCAAATCCCACTTAACAGTGGCTTACACCTTAGAAACATTTACTGTTTGCACCTCAGGACTAGTCTAGCAGCTTTTTAGTGTCATTGGGGACCCAAGCTTTTTACAGACATTTGCTCCATTACTTAATGTAATGGCTTTTGATCTTTGTTGTCTCATGGTTGGGGAAAAACAGGAGTGGATTTTTCTAGACATCTAATAGTGTCTGCCAGTGTCATTCTTGATTTTTCCCTTTTGCAGTGCAATGAATTACTTAACGTGGCCCTTCTAGCCATGGTCTTTGTGACTCACACACAGTGATTGGGTGGGACTGTGCAGATAAGGTTAATAGTGGTGTGCCAAGGGGATTGGTCAGTTTTGCCATCCTGCTAGGCTTCAAAGAGAGCAATTCCAAAGCAAAGAGAGGATCCCACCACCACCAAGGAAGAACAGCCAATAGTCGAGCGTGTCCTTTGGACCTGTGATCCCTGAGCTTAGAAGCTCCTGGAACCGGGAGACAGAGACAGAACTGTAACACTGAAGACAGCGAGAAACAGTGGCAGAGAAACAGTAGCAGGAGAGACCAGCAGAAGATAGCACAGTGGGCTTTCCGGCCGTCGGAGTGAGAAAGCTGAGTGCCTTTGTGCCGAGGCTTACTGGTGAGTGGGGTGCCTTTGGGCACTTATTGGTAGAGCTAAAACGTGTTTGTAAACTTACCTGAGCAGGGGAGAGGCCCACGGTCAGAGAGAGGCCTTCATGTGAGCCCAGCTGGGAAGATGAAAGAACTGTATCCTGAGAGTTCCTCAACCTGAATTATAACCTGTTACTTCCCTAATAAATCCCATAATTTTGAGTATGGTCCGTGAGTTCTGTGTGCCTTTGCAGTAAATTATTGAACACAGCAGAGAAGTAGAGAGTACCATGGGAGGGACGGTTGGTGTCAGAATTGGTAAAGATGGTGGAGAGAAGAAGCATGTCTGACCTCTGCCTCGTAGGAATCATGGGCTGTTGATCTTGATTCTCTTTCTCCCTTGTGAAGTTAGAGGAGGTTAGACGTTGCCCCCACACCATTTTTACACCTTTCCCTCTACTCCCATGTTTTATTACCAAGAGCTGTTCTTTTGTTTTGTCTCAGATTTGTCCCCTTTGCATTCTGTTACCACTTTAGTCCAAGCCTTCCTCACATCATAATCCTATTCCATAATAATTTAATGTTTTCCTCCTTATAATAATTTCACAGTCTAACCTCCATGCCTATAAAATTCTGCTTTACATATGTCACTCCTTTGCTTAAAATAGCTTCCCGTTGTTTATAAAGTCTAGAGCCCTTAGTCTGGTGTCAAAGTTTTCCACAACATGACTTCTATCTACATGTCCTTATCTTTTTCATTGCCCTGTGAAATTGTCTCAGTAATTTTTTTACCTCATTGTGTACATTCCTTCCCTCAAAGTCTCATGTTGTACCTTGTCGAGCAAAGTCCATTGCAAGGTGTACTTTTACTTTGAAGCTCATTTGTAGGGACCACACTCCTATAGCACAGGTATATGTTTTGTGCATAGTGCATGTTTTGACTTTTTGACATACCATTGTTATTTTTTTTTTTTGACTTTAACAAACACATTTATTTTCTCAAAGTTTAGGAGGCTAGAAGTCCGAATTCAAAGTGCCAGCTCGTAGGGAAGCCTTTCTTTCTCTGTTGGCTCTGGAGGAAAGTCTGTGTCGATCAGAACAGCCTCTTCTTAGCCGTGTTGTGTCTGCAGGCAGCTCTCTCTGGCCCTTGGCCCCTGGGCCCCTTGACCTGGTGTTTGCCCTGCTTGGACAAGTGTTACAAAGCTCTTTAGCTCCACTAATAAGTGCCCAGAGGCACCCTACTCCGCCAGGAAGCCTGCTGCCCAAAGGCACTCAGTTCACTTGCTCCATGGGTCAGCTCCTGCGCCATCTCACGCTGGTCTCCTGGCTCTGCTGCAGTTTTTCTGCTGCTGCTTCTCAGCCGTCTTGCACCATCTCACCAAGTGGAGAACAGCTACACAATACTGGGAATCATGGCCTAGCCAAGTTGACACATATTTTAGGGGGACACAATTCAATCCCTGACACTGACACATTCCTATAAAAATAAAACCTACCAAAACTAACTCAAAAAGGCATTAAAAAAAACTGAATAACCATATAGCCATTCAAGAAGATACTTCCCACAAAGAAGACACTAAACCTGGATGGTTTCATAACATGCTTTCTCAAACCTCCCAGAGAGACAAAAACTTCCAGTTTATGAAGCTAATAAAATCTCGACACCAAAACCAGACAAGGACTGTATGACCGTAGAAAATTAGACACCAGATTCACTCAAGAACATGAATGCAAAAGTCTTAAACATAATGTTAGCAGAAAAAATCCAGCAACATATGAATAATGAATATATGACCAAGTTAGGGTAATCCCAGGAATGCAAGATTAGTTTAGTATTATAAAATTAATGTATATCATTATATTACTTGATTAAAAGAAAACTCATATGAATGTCTCAATAGATGAACAAAATTCAACATCTTTTCATGATAAAACTCTTAG